AAAACCTGAACTTTACGAATGTATTTTCCTTGAAGAAAACCCGTGAGACAGGCCGAAACTTCTGTACCGGTCATTCGTCCAACAACCACCACACGCAGATAAAGCGTATTTTACGATGTCTTCGGCTTGACCACTAAAGCATGAACCAAATGCTCCAACCTGCTTACTGCTAATTACTCATACCTGCTCACTTATCGACTCTTTCCATGCAGCATATAGTATCCGCTTTGGAAACGAAAACGTATACTTCACACTTTTACCTACTTCCTGTAACTTATACAGCAACTGATTATATATTTACTTATAAACTTTATGCAGTTAATCAGATACTAATTATGTACCTAGTTAGTTATTCAACTGTTACTTACTCAGCTACTTGTATATACTTGCTTATCAATTTTCAGTTAATTAATTACTAACCGATCAACTTAATTACTTAATACTCGCTTCCTTCTTTACCTAATTACCCACTTACCTATTCTTTCTTGGTTATTTAAAAACTTTGTAACTTTACAATTAACTACCACTTACACAGACATTCACGTAATCTACCTACTTAATTACTTACTTGCCTTCTTATCTGCTGGTTCATTACTGAGTGACTTATCTACTTACTAACTTAGTCCATTTACTTTTTTACAAACTCAAGCAATCGAATGACATGCTCTAACTATGTTCAATAGATCATGAGTGAGGTGAAAAAAGCTTCTTGCCCGTTAGATGACTGCGTCAGGCGGGCACCTTAAATGAGCTTCCATAGCATTTTTCCTAGCCGTATGGTCCTAGTAGTGACATTCGAGTTTCCATGTTCTGTGGAATTTCAGCTAACGACTTTATCATTGTGAGTTAACGACCGAGATCGTCCATCAAAGCCAACAGGATTATCTTGTAAATGCATCGTCACTTTGCAGTCAAGATCAAGAGAGAGTTATCTGACTGATTCTCTATTACCTGTGCACTCCGCCAGGGAGATGTGCCGTTATTTTTGCTGCTGAACATTTTTCTCGACGTCGATGCGACACGGCTAATTTCAGACAAAGTTCTGCGTCGATCATATGATGATCAGCCAAATGCAGCAGCAACGCTTGAAACGAGAGAGTCTCGAGTAAAGAGCTGTGTCATTCGTGGTTGATGAAGAGGTGGTTTGGTGAATACGATTATGAAGAAAAAGGATCACACGGATGAGTAAGCCGTTTCTGGCGCAAAAGCATGACCATCATGTGCATTGTTGTCAGTCGAGATATGAATACCATGATGGTCGAATATGCCTGGCTATGTGTTGTACTCTACA